CCCCCAGCTTTGTTCCCCCCCTCCGAGCCCCCCCTTGCCCATATACATTTTTTTCATTAATTTCCATACTGTTTACCATGGGGGGGGGCAGCATCCCACAATTCCTTGCTCAAACGCATAAATAATATTAAACGAGGCGCCGCGATACAAAGGGGGGGTTGGGGAGCCAAGGTTGGAGTGGGGGGGGAGGGCAAAGCAAAGCGATGCGCTGAAATCCGCGCAAACTGCGCGGCTCCCGGCGAGGCGCGGGCGGGCGCGCGCGGAGCATCCGCGCCCGCGGTAATTGAATCGTTCTCCTCGGAGCTGGACAGCAGCCTTTGATCAGCGGTGCCGGCTTCAAAACCTATCTGAAACAGAGAGGTTTCCCCTGACAGGGCGGCGCGGGGAGCGCCCCCTCCTCCAGCCCCCCGCCACCGAGTTAACCTTGCTGCTTATTTATTATTGTGATTATTTTGCATGGGGAAGCTGCCTCTCCCCCCTCCTGCCCTCCCCCCTCCTCCTCCCGCCTTTTGTCTTTGGAAATAAATCCCTCGGAATGAAATTGGGGTCTCTGGATGGCGAAGAGGGGGCGGCCGGAGGGTCCCGCTGGCAGCGCCGCCCCAACGGGAAGTGGCAGCGGTTCCTGTCTCGCCTCTTCTCCTGCCTTTTTAGTTTTCCTCTCTTCTTTTTCTTTCAATCTTTTTTTCCACCTTTTCTATTCCTTTTTATTATTATTTTATTTTTTGTTTTTCCTCCTTTTCCCCTCACCGAGGACATTGCTCCGCGCTGGGTCCAAATATTGCTGAGATCACATATTACCGATCCAAAGTTGTTTTGCTCAAACAAGCACCTAGAGGTTAATTTCTTGAAGTGCCCCATGAAAAGCGATTAGCCTGTCTCCCAAGAAGTATTTTCTAATTACTTGGAAGCTCTCGCTTTTTTTTTTTTTCTTTTCTTTTTTTTTTTTTTTTTTTTTTTTCCTTTCCCTGCTACCCCATAATTAAACGCGTTCAAGGTGCTGCACTTCAAAAATTTTGCTCCCGGGCGGACCCAAGTTCCCGGCAACAACCTAAACCCCGCTCAGATTCGCGCTACCTGCGCCGTGTGGCAACCAGGCGACCTCAGCACGGCCGCTGCTGCCACGTTCGTGTTGCCATTCGTTACCCTCGTCTTTTCGCGGGGATATTTATACCCTGTATCGGGCAGGGAGGCGAGGAGAATTCCTTAGATAAACTCCAAAGCGGCAGATAAACAAAGCTGTACAAAACAATTACCGAACCTGCCTGTCCGCTCGCAATAATCCCGCCGCCTCATTGCAAGGCAGCACCTCAGGTATGCAGGACCGAAGGGGGCGAAGAAACGAGCTGATACCTTGCTGAGGAAGATAGCAAAAAAAATCTTGTTTTCCTATTATTTTATCTCCTGTTTCAGTCTCTATTCAAAGATTCTTTCCCAACAGCAAAACACATATTTTTAATTGTTTTTATTTATTTGTTTTCGGAATGCGGGCACGTTGCCAGAGCTTTTTCCTCAAGCACATCTCGATTTCACTCGTGAAGCGCCGCAGAGAATGACGAGAGGGGAGGTTAAATAGTTTAGTGCAGTTTTAATAATAACCATTATAGTTTTCGGTTCGTTTGGTTGCCTGTTTCCGCACGAAGTTGCCGAGGCGGCGATGCCTCGAGCCAGCCCGGCTCCTGCCAGCGATGCCACTTGCTCTGAAACGTCCCCCTGTAGCTGCAAGGAGGCTAATTCCACCCTGTCACCATTCAGTTATGTTAGTGTCCCCTTTCCTGCGGACGAACAGGAGCGTGTCCCTGCACGGCGGGCGCGTATTTGCACCTCCACAACCCGCTTTGATTTGAGGGTTTGGGGGTTGTCTTTCTTTATCTTTTCTCTCTGTCTCTCTCTCTTTTTTCCCCCCTCATTTTCCTGTGTTTTCTCGGGGCAGTCGCAGGGCGCTACAAAGTTGAAACCTCAGGTGAAAACCGCGGAGCGCAGTTTTGCGCGGGCAGCTGCTCCTGCGCGCTGCTCTCCGCGGCGCCTCCCGCTCCCGCTGCAAACGACGGGGTGAAGGTGGGGCGGTCCCTGGAGTTGCGTTCCCCACCCGGGCCTCCTGCAGCTCTATTTTGGGGGGAGATGCAGCGGGGGCAGCCGCGGGAGGCAGCGCAGCGGCCGCGGGGCTGCTCCGCTGGAGCGGCGCCGGCTCCAACCCCGGCCCTGGCCCGGCCCCCGCTGCCCAGAGATCCCCCAAAAGCCCAGAGGAGGCTGGAAAGATGTAACACGGGGCTCCCTATTCCCGTCCGGGTCAGAGCAGGAGCAGCTTTGCCAGCAATTCGCCGGCGGGCACCGCGGAGCCGGCGGCGCGTTGTCCCTGCGGCGGCTCTCGCTTACAAGCGGAGGGTGGAAAAAAAAATGCACGGACTTTATCTGCAGGCGATACTTTTTTTTTCTTCTTTTTTTTTTCCCTCTTTTTTTTTTTTAAAATTTAATTTAATTTTATTTTTTTTTTAATTTATTTTTAAAGCAAAGTCCCCCCTTGCTTCGCAGCCTGAGCAGGAGGGAGAGGGAAGCGGCGCTGAGCGGACAGCGCAGCCGGGGCCTCTCCCGCAGCTCCCGGAGCGTTTGGAAAGGTGCAGGGCAGCAGCGGGACCCCGCCGTCCCTCCGTCGCTGCCTTCTCCTTACAGACACCCCCAAAATAAAAAATATAAAAACCCGGGCTTTCTAAAACTCTTTCCCAAATCCCTCCGCACCAGGCTGCATTTGCCGACTCGAGGCCGTTTCGTGGCGCGGTGACTCCGCAGCCGGTCGCATGCGGGAACAGTGGGGACAGAGGACCGCGAGCCAGGTGTCCGTTTCATTTATTTGTTTGGGCGAATCACTGCTCTTCGCGGGAGCTCTGGCGGCAACGGGGGGACAGGGACGTGCTCAAAATCTCGGGCGCTCCCGTCTTGCTGCATCATGAAAGTTTTATTACCTGCTTACGCGGAGCTCCCCCCCGGCGCCCTCCCCGCACCCGCGTGACGCCCCCAACCCCCCCGGGAACGGCACGGGGGGACGCGGGGGCTCCGCGCTGAACAAATTGGGTTTAATGGCTGCGTGCGGAATTGCAAAGTAGTTTTAGCGGCGTCACCACTGCTGCCAGCCGCGGCGCGGCCCCGTGGGTGTCCACGCGGGGCGAGTTCGGAGCGTGGAGGGGCTGGAGCCGCCGTCCTCGGTGCTGCGCGGAGCGGGGAAGTGCGGAACGGAAAATAAACAAACAAAGGAGCCGCTTGTGCTCAACGCGGTGCGGAGCGGCCCGGCTCGGCGCGGAGAGCGGCCCTGTGCGGAGCCGGGCTGGCGGCATGGAGGGAGGAGAGGGAAGTGGGAAGGGAAAGAGGAAAGGCAGAAGAAAAGTGAAAGAAAAAAAAAGAGGAAAAAGGGAAAAAGAAAAAAGAAAGGGAAAGAAAAAAAGAAAAGAGGAAAGAGGAGAGAAAAATAAAAAGAAGAAAGAAGAAAAGAAGAAGAAAAAAGAAGAGAAAGAAGAAGAATGGGCAGAAGAAGAGGAGGAAGAGGGGGAAGAGGAATAGGAAGAAGAAGAAAAGGAAGAGAAGAAGAAGAAGAAGAAGA